TAAAATAAAAACAAATGAATAAATTGGTATAATATCTACGTAGTAACTAGTAATTACAAGTGATTATCACAATTCGCTATATAATTAACAATATTAAGGTAGGTACATTAAAACAAACTCGATTAAAACTTTATATAAAACAAAACCAATATAACTTATTATCAGTCATCAGATAAAAAAAAACTAAGGTACATCTAAAAATGAAAAGAAGTACCTAATATGAAGAAAACTTTTAGACTAGGTGGGTACTATTATAAAAAACAAAATTCATTATATAATATAAAAACAAATGAATACTTTGGTATTTTGGTACAATACCTAACAATATTAAGGTAGGTACATTATCAGACTTGATTAAAACATAATAACAAAAACAATATACATTTTTATAAGGCATTAAAAAGAATATCATCATATTCTTCTAATATATCATTCGGTAAATTACATTCATTTTTTGAATAAATATAATTAGTTCCAATATTTTTGATAACTTTATTTGGTAATATAAAATTATGGCAACATTTACCATGCCTTTTCAGACCAGATCGTATTTGTAGTAGAGATGTCAATAGCTCAGTTCCCATTCTATTTCTTGTTTTGCTTTTTATTAAGTTCATCTGGCTAAACACCCTCTCTACTTCGGCATTTGAAAAAGGTAATGACAAAGTCGTTAGTGCTAGTTCAGACAATTCTTTTAAGGGATTCTCACCACAGGCATCTGTGTAGTTCTTGACTTCAACCCAAAATTGTACAACATTGGTTGTTTCATTCCACAGTAAAACATTGATTTTAYGCCATTGAAAATCGATTTTTTCAATCAATTTGCTCTCATATCCTAGAAGTTCRCATAATGGGCTAATTGTATCTTTCACTTGTTTTAATACATTAGTAGGTGATAACATATTTATTTTTTCAAATACTTTAAAATTCTCTGGTAATCTTTGTTGTAGTTGTTGAATTAAAATAGTAGTAAACTTAATACATCTGTCTCTTAATACTTTTTCACCATTAGCGTTAAGTGAGCCATTATTTTTTAGTTCTGTCACTTTATTTTCAAAACTATAACCCAAAAACGGTTTAGGGTGTAAGTGATGAATAAAATTCTCATTTGTAACTGGGTCAAAATTAAATGAAGGTAATACAATTAATTTACCCAATGAGACTACCAATGTCGATAAATCAATTGCTAACTTTGTCTGGTCGACGTTATTGCTTTCAAACAATTTATTCACTCTTTGTACATCAGCTAAAGCAGGTCTCAAAAATAGAAGAAAAGCCAAATTTTGTTCATTACAATACATATCGTATAAAACTTCAGCAGTAAAGCATTTTTCATTTGAACGAGCAAGTTGAAAATGTAATTTAAGTTCTAGCCATTGATCAATTATTCGGGAAACTGCAGATTCAATCGACAACCATCGAGTACTACATGCTCTGACAATCTTCAGAGGTGCATGGCCATCATTCATTGTTTTAAATAAGTCTAAATATGATTGTTGCCGTAAAGATGATTTTGAAAACCAATTATAAGTCTCACTTATCATAAAATCAAGATGCCTTGGTAAAGTTTGAGAGCATGCAAATGATGTAGCTAATTGAATTGAGTGACATACGCATCGAATCAAAATTAGGTTTGGATTGTATTTTTTTAATAAGGCATGCACACCGTTGTTAATACCAACCATAACACTGGCATTGTCTGTACCTATGCCAATTAAATTTTTTATATCTATTTGATATTTCTCTAATGACTTTTCAACTGATTCTACTATAGCTTGAGCATTGCATTCAACTAACTTTTCTAATYCGAAAAATGTGGTTACAATAGTGCTTTTTTGAGTACTGAAATATATTATGGCAATTCCTAAATACTTGGTTACAGAAATATCTGTTGATTCATCTAGCAATAGACTAAACTTATTATTACCAATATCGTCTTTTAAATCAGTTTTGAAAAAAGGATTTAATACATTAATTATTATAGAAGTACATTTTGTTCGATGAAGAGATAAGTTTTCAGCTTGTTTGGACCCAGGAAATTTTTCTTTACATAGCTCTCCAAGATGATCAATAGAAAGAACGGAACAGTGAGCACTTATGAAAAGAGATAGTGAAGCTTCAGTTTGTGCAGTTTTAGTACACGGTGTTACAACCTTTATTCTATTAGCATGGTTTTGAATTGCATTTGTAGAGGACTTATGCTTTTTTGTCGCAGCATGGGTTACAAGATCAGGACGTCTTGCACGAATTGAACACAAACAGGACTTACAGAATGCTTTTGAATCGTCCTCTGGAACTTCCTTTAACCAATCCGCAAATGCTTTATCCTTGAGCCACTCCTTTCGAAACTTTTGGATATACTGTGGTTTACCCATGGTCCAAGTTCACTGTAACTCTATAGGTACTTAACCTAGTTATTAAAAGATTAATAGAATCATTAATAAATTGTTAATTCTTTAAGTTGACTTGGTAATAACTAAGTACTTACTTGAATAATAGACATAGTACACAACTCACAATGCAGTGCATTACTGAATTGCGGTTAGAGACGTTAGAGTGTTACCACAGAATAGAATAATTACTGTGTTAGACAATATTAGTGTCTACTGTCTAGTGAGTAGTGATTAGTGAATTAGTGATGTACTGATAACTGATGTGTAAATCGTATTTCGTAAATGTAATCAATAATCATGAGTTCCGACTTAGATCTAAGAGTWCCGATGATAGAAATACAGAATAGATAACAGGCAGGCAGTATAACCACAGAATCTATTACATCTATTCTGTGGTATAACCGTATCAAAATACAAAAACTAACGTCAATATTATGAAGAAACTTGGTGAAAAATTGATAATATGAAAAATAAAATTGAAAAAATACCAAAAAATAAATTAAAATCTATATAATTTGGTAATTTAAAATTAACCAAAAAAGACCTAATGAATCACTAAAAATAACCAGAAAAAAAACTAATAACCAGATCAAATATCTACCCGACATTACCGTGTACAATAAAACTAGATCTGGTCATTAAATAACCAAGATGGCAACACTGGTGGACCTCATCGGGGAGACAATGGACGTGGTTACGGCCAGCCTTGACGGCGGCGATACGGCGCACAACGCCATCTCTGAATCGTTGGTTACGTT